TGGCGGTAATGCACTTATAAGTCTGCGATCCGCCGTAAAGCAAGAAGAAGAACAAGACACGCCAGGCGCCAGCTGTTGAGAACGCTCTCAGGAGGACGCGCTCAGGACAGACAGTTCGGACATTGCGGTGAAAATCAGAGGTAAAAAACAATATAAACACTGTTCAGTTTCTTGCACAAACCGATTGTTTTGTGTCTTTACACATCAATGTATCGTCACGAGCCGCAGGGTTTAATTTGGTTTTGTTTGTGTATGTTTTTTTGACTCCCAAAGCCATGATTCCCATCCACTTACATTATATGACTGACAGACTGCAACGGTTTGAGTTCAAAATCTTCGTTTGCGTTCTGCTGAAGAAACAAAGTCACCTACATCTTGGATGCCCTTAGGGGTAAGCAGATAAACATCAAATTTTCATTTTTGTGTGAACTATCCCTTTAGTGGTATGTTTGTTTGTTGTTGTCTCATACTTTTAGACACACTGTTATTGGTGAATGCTACCGCTTCTGTTAGCTTTTAATATACGTTTTTTTCCTGATTAAAGCTTTAATACAGTACGGCAACTGCACGTGTTAATATATGTATATGATAATACATGTATAACGCTTCTCATAGCTATATGAAAATAAGTGTATAAATGAAACAGAGCTGAGCTGATTATCTGAATGAGAGAGAGAGAGAGAGAGAGGGAGAGAGAGAGCGTGTGTAGAGCAGGGGACGCGAGGAACAGTATTAAGAACCGCTGCTTTAGAACATTGATTTAGAAACTTGTGAATCCATCAGAATCGTTAGAAGACAGAATCGTGATTCATAAATTAATAGATTTTTACGTGCACCCCTAGTTTTCTCTTCCTCTTCTCTAAAGCAGTGCAGCATGGCCTCGCCCCCTTTGTTGCGTGTTCCCAGGGGCAGGGTTTATCAGGGTTTGTGACGTCACGAACTTTGCATTGAACTTTCAGCTTCGTAACTTTGCAGATATTGTTTATGCTCAAACAGCAACATTACACACAAACTAATGTTAAAAAAGTTAAATCGCAATCAACCACCCCTTTAATCTGCTCTATTATCTGTAAATATTTGGATTCACTTTCTAAACCATACGTAATTAACTCCTACTTTTTGCTGTATTTCATAAAGTCGACTTCCTGTGTGATCCATATCCCATTTTTGTTGCCATTCTTTAATGAAATAAACTTTTATTATTACTTTTGCTTCATATTTACCAAGTGAAATAGCCTATTCATAATCTCCTCACATTCCAAAGCCTGTTTTGCTAACTAACTTCATTGCCCTTTATCCCTCTGTGACCTAGTATCCACATATGTATTTTCATAATGTTCCTTCTCAAGTCTACAGATTTTCATATATTCATAATTCATTAACTATATCTTGTCTACTGTGAGATATGACTGCAGTGACATTAATGCTGAACATGAGTCTGTACTAAGAACAACCTTTTTGAGCTGTGTTTCTTCTATCCACTGTAACGATGCTGCAATTGACAGCATCTTGGCTGTGAATACTGATAGATGATCTGATGTTCTCCTCTTAACAGAAATTTGTGAAGGATGGAATACTGAAAGCAAAACCTGTCTCCCTGTATAAGGATCCTTGGATCCATCAGTATACTGGAACAAAAATTTGATATACAGTTTGTATGTGTGCGCTCTTCCTGGAGAAGTGCCCATAAAAGGAATTCCACCCTTTATGATCTCATACAGTGACATATTCGTCATACGTCCAACTCGTTTTTTAAGACTTTGGTCATGTTTAGCATGAGAATCCTACTCTTTAACAGAGTAAATAAATGAGAAGGCATGACAATGCAGACAAATGGAACACACTAAAAAATTAGGATCAGTAAATCGTCCAATAAAAAGATGAAACATGGGCTAAATTACATGAAATAGATTAACATGTCCTACAGTTACTTTGACATCTCAGCTGAGAGATTAAACAAGGCCAAACAAAGTAGTTTCGCTTTCACAACGAAACACACTGCGGCCTTGAGTGAGCGGCGGCCGGAGGCCTAGAGTGAACGAAGGCCGGCTAAAGTAAGCGGAGGTGAGCGGGCTTGAGAACGGTGTGGCCGGTGGATTCGACGAAGGAGCGTCCGGAGGGCTTGCGGCAACCATGCACCAAGAGCTTGTAACACTCCAAAGAGAAAGGAAAAATTGAAATTGCATCATATGACCCCTTTAATTCTAGTACTGCAGAAGCACATGACCTACATTACTGCCAGAGGCAACAGAAGTTTAAGAAGGAAAAGCTACAAGCCAAACCTAGTGAGTTGCCTACCTAGACAGCATTTTTGGCTGCCAGGTGTGTGCAGCACATTTAGATGCAGTAGGGGTTCAATCTTCAACTGGCTGGCAGGAGTTGCCAGGACTGGCTTCACGTGACCTGCCAGTGGTTGGTGGCAGCTGCCAGTGGCAAGTCACGTGACCTGTCAGTGGTTGGTGGCAGCTGCCAGTCTGATACTGGCAGCTGCCAGTGGCAGGGCACGGGGCCTGG